TTGCTAGTATGCGCATGTCTCTCTCTCTCTTTTTGTCCCCATCCCCCCTGAAAAGTCATATCGGGCCATTCTATGCTGATACCAATGGAGCATGCGCGATCAACACTTGAGACATTGGTTATGTCTGTCGCATGATGTTGCAACAGGTTTCATGATCTACACCTAAAGTGGCTGCACTGGGACACCAATCGATCATGCGCGATCGACACAGACATCGCTGTTGACCAGATTCGCATCCAGTTTGTTCGACACTTGCATATTATATTCCATCTCCGTGATACCGCCACAGAAGCACTTTCAAGTACGGCTGGAAATGTGCAGTCTGGGGCTGATTTCAACTTTTTTCGTACATCACTTAGAACGTGAATAACTTTGAAAGCTAATTTGTTTTAGAAGGCTTTTTTCTAAAGCTGTCGGCTAGGTCACCTCTTCACAGTTGTCTACTGTGGATGTCTAAGAACTTTTCTGGGTAACCATTCAATTAAATTGTTCGATTTGAAGCGCCCAAAAGTTTTTGACGCAACTAATCCATTCATGATGGGGTTGACCTTTGACTTTTATCCCTTACTGATCTTGGTTTGGATAAACACGTTCGTTCACTATGATTGGTCAACCCAATGTATGTATGTATGTGTCAGCTTGTGCAAGTTAGTGACTGAGGCGAGTAAACTAAATGCGAACATCTTGTGACATCTGTTTTCCTTAGAGAGGTCTGCATTGGATTTAACATCGTAGATACTGTACTGAAACTGATGGCAGATGAATAACTGCCCCCATCCCCAGTGAACGATCAATGGCAAGTCAACTACAGATTTGGAAAGATAAATTTGGTAGTGACCCTTGTTGAAACCGAAAATTACCCATGCACCAGCCATTTTTGGATGAAAGAACTCCGAAAATCGCTATAAATATATGACAGTTCTTTACATTGAAAATCAGTATGCCTTGAGATGGCTAAATAAATATTGTCATTTTCTCCCAAAACCACTGCAATAGTTAGTAGCAAGTTACCAAACGTTCTGTGGTCCGGTAATTCAAGTCCTAATGGATAACAAATAACTGTTTTAATCAGCCCGATTGAATGAATTGTTTTTGTTTTTTAATCCGGTAGGATTATACGAAAGTGACACAAATGAGTTGTGTGTTTGTTGGATGACGAGCGTAGCCTAGAACAAAACATTCCATTTGTTTCTACTGGCTGAAATACAAACAAACCCAATCGATTTCAATACCTTTTGCCCCAGAGAAGAGCTTCACAATCGATCAGATCAAAATTTTGCGCGCCTCGCCTTCTCAGTAATCCCATTACCACAAAATATCGACCGACTTGCTCACATATCTACCCCCACTCGTCACACTCCAACAGCAAACGGACAAACAGAACCGAGTGAGGCTACGTTGCAAGTAATTGTGGGTGACAGAGAATGAGGGTGAGTGCTATAAAAGGACCGATGTGTGTGTGCTTATGTTTTGGCGCACTGAACTCCCGATTGTTTGTTGACGGTTCATGACAAATGGCCCAAAGTGGAAAACCGGAACTGACCAACTATTTGGCCAAATATCGGGATCCACAAACTCATCGGTTTCTGGCAGTCACCGCACGAGAATTTCTCGAATGTTGGCAACACTACGACCGGGATGGAAACGGCTATCTGGAGGGAGCGGAACTGGACGGATTTTTGCGCGAGTTCGTTCGCAGTGTGGTCCCGGGAACTATTGGTGACGAAGTGGTTTCAGAGATTGCCTTGGAACAACTGAAACAGGAATTTATGGACGCTTACGATGACAACGAGGACGGAAAGATTGATATCAACGAGCTGGCACAAATTCTCCCCACAGATGAAACATTTTTAGCCTTATTTCAACACGAGGCTCCGTTGTCCTCCAGTGTGGAATTTATGCGCGTATGGAAACAGTTCGATGCGGACGGAAGTGGTTATATTGAGAAAGAAGAATTGCGCGGTTTCTTAAAACACCTTTTAGAACGGTCGAACATAAAAATCAGTGAGGACAAACTGGAAGATTATACCCAAACATTTTTGAGCTTATTCGATCGGGATGGGGATGGTCGTTTACAGTTGAGCGAAATGGCCCGTTTGTTACCGGTCAAAGAAAATTATCTCATCAAACCGCTGTTCAAGAACACCAATGATATCGATCAACGTACAGTGGACCGAATTTTTCGCAAATACGACACAGACGGGAATGGGATTTTGGAAAATGAGGAACTGTTGGGTTTTCTCAAAGACTTGCTCGAGGCCACTGGAGAAGAGTACACAGAGGAACGTATGAATCAGATGAAAGATTCCATTTTGGACCAGTGGGATGTGAATCATGATGGAAAGATTGGAAAGGAAGAGTTGACCGATTTGATTATGCATACAGTACATATTGTACAAGAAGCGGAAGCATTTAAACGTGGTAAGGAGTAGTCAGTTGAACAGCTTTCCCCATACAAACTGTATCATCGTCACACATTGGGCATTCGTTGATTGAGTTACATGAGGTTGAGTTCTGTCCCACCCACATCTATCATATTTGAGGTTGTTCTGTTCCGACCAAATGTGAAAATACACTTTTTGTCATTACAGTGAAATATTTTTTGTATGCGTCCGAGATCGAAATTGGTACAGAATTTCGTGACTTAGTGCTCAGTGCTATTTAGGTATATCGATGGATGGTGTTGTTGATTTATGAATGTTGTTTTTCCTAAATTTTTAGATCATAATTGCTTGGGAGTGATGCTGTGAGTTAATTTTATTCATGGATTGAAAATCTTTAATGTAATTGGAACATAATTTAGAGAACTACGCATTTGGTGGTTTAGTCTGTTTAAAACTAGGACCACCGGATCCGTGGTTCAACTGTGAATTAAACGGGAAAGCATGATGGGTGAGTCACAGCTAATCAGTTGATCAAGTAGCGACAGGCCATTGATCCAATAACACATTTCAACCCTCCTTATCCCTCGTACTTCGCACTGGAAAAGTAATAATACAAGTTTCTTTGCTTAAATTAAAGCTCATCAACGGTGAATCAACACCATTGATGAGCTATAATGAGAGCGAAAATCAAGTGCACTGGATGCGACAATTATGAGGGGTGATTGGTCCAAAAACAGATTCTAGGGGGTTTTCACTAAGACTGCCTGATGAAACTCAGTCTAAGCACAAATTTCTAACAAAATTGAACGCTTTGTCTTTATATCATTTTCTTATTAAACGTAACTGCGTGATGGTACATAGGATGAAGTGCCCTCCTCGATCATGAAGACCTGTTATTTAGCATGGACAGCTGGAAATGCAGGACCGTAAATCTTGTGGGAAAAATACAGCTATGAGGGGTTTGTTTTGCTGCTTTCCGGCATTCCTTTTCACCATTTTGGCATGGTTGGTTAAGGGGATCTTCTGCGCTGTAAATTGATCAACTTGTTTCCACTGCCAACTCACCCAGTACCAATGCAAATGGTCAATAAATTTTGTTTTACGGGAAATGTTTTTAGATACGTAGTGCAAATTACCATAGAGATAGATGAATTTCACCATAGCCGTATCTAGTGAACCGATTCCATTCCATTTCATTTATAACTCTTGGGAATATGGATTTGCCACAGGGAATCGTAACACGATAGTTTTGTGCATCAAAGATGATATCCGAACTACAATCTCCCACTACCAATTTCACTGTGGCCTAGGTATATTATTGGTTGAAAATAATT